CGGGGCTTGTGTTTCAGGCAAGGGCGGTCTTCTGTTTCCAGTAGGAGGCCATCCCCGCTCGCAGAGGCTCTCCTGTGTGCCGTGGGCCGGGTAGGCCCTATCCTGCACCCTCCTCTCCTCCAGCCAAGTTCGCCGGTGGGGGCAGACCTTTCTAGGTGGCCGCTGCTCCTGTGCTAACTTCCATTCAGGCTTTAACTCCGGGATGGTTAGCAGCAAGCTTTGCTTAGGCGCTCGGCCCCACCCACCGGAACTAGCTCCCCAGCCTGGGTGGGGCCGTGGGCTGTCCTTCCCTTGCTGCAGCTTTTCTAGGGGTCATCATTCGGGGAAGGGGCCTAGTGAGGCGTTGCGATGATACCACTGGGCATTATTTTTTTCTGTAGAAGGGACTCTTGACGAAGGTGGAGAGTTTGGTGTGGGTTAAACATAGAGTTAAATTTTTCTCTGGGTCTTAAAAAGATCTAAACAACCTGGGTTACTGCTGATCTGGGTTACCAGTTTAGGAGACTTTCACTGTGATCTTTCCATTTTTCTAAGGGTTTAGACTATTTTAATGCAGATGTGTGAACTGTACCCGTGAATTAGCTTTTATTGACAAGCGTTTATATGCACTCCGTGAGCAAATATTTCAGGTCTACTCTTGCTGGCACTTTAAAAAGTTTTCTTTTTAAAATATGTATTCAGCAGGTAGAGGTACAGGTGTATATCTGAGCTTTATCCACTTTAGCATGTGTTCTAAAACTGCTGTCCAAGGCTGGGCCTGGTGGCTCACGCCTGTAATCCCAGCACTTGGGAGGCTGAGGCAGGAGGATCATTGCAAGTTTGAGGCCAGCCTGGGCTATGAAGTGAGTTCAAGGCCAGCCAGAACTGTATAGTAAAACCCTGTCTCAAAAAAATAAAATAAAAAAGAAAACTTCTGTCCAATGAGGTAGCTACTGGTTCCATAAAGCTTGAACACTGGAAATATGACTAGTCAGAACTGAGATGACCTAAAAATGCGGCAAATTTGGGTGAAGTTCATATTTTAAAAACCCTCAATTTGTGTATATCAATTACATGTTGAAAAGGTAATATTAGAGGCCAAGGAGATGTAGTTCAGTGATAGAGTACATGCTTAGTCCCTTGTTAAATCCCCAGCACCATACTGATAAAAGAGAAAGAAATGACAGTATTTTGGATGCACTGGCTTACCATAACATAATAATATATTACTAAC